ATTGACACGGCCCGCGTCGCTTCGTTATACACGATGCCCCGCGACTCGTGCCACCTTTATCAGCCGTCGCCCTACTATGAGTATTTGACTGACCAACACCGCGTGTTATACGCTACGGTGCAAAGTCCAGCAAATGCCGCACGGTTGACGATGACCCGACGCAAATGATGGGTGAGTCTTCCTTTCGTTGTGAAAGCGACAACGTCGACCAACCGATCCGCACCCGCGCACCGTCGCCTACAACGCTGCTAACCATTTGCCGTCCAAGGATTACGCCGGACATCACATCGTCGACGCCAGCGAAAGTGCCGCGATATTATGCGAAGATTATTATTACAGTGTTTATCTTTTCGGTTTGTTTTATTTTTATTAAAATAATGTGTTGTCGCTCATTTAATAAACGGTCCACGGGTCTCTACCCTCAAAACCAGTGTCGACCACATTTTTGCGACGTAAGTCGTGTCATAGTATTTCAGTTATAAAATAAATATAAAGTATAAAGATTATTAAGTTTTGAGTATTTTGCTATATATTTTTCTGTCGTTTTTAAAGAGACAAATTCTAATTATATGTATACAAAATGAGTAAGTAATCGGGGCAAAAAACTCTCGACTCATTTTTCACAAAAAAGCCGAGAACAGATTTTGTCTGTAAAGAAGAAACTTTAGAAGTTTTAAATGAACCAACAGCATCGTCAACATCTACTCTTCCAGTTCCGATAAATGAACATCCAGCAGTTGACTCTTCTGAAATTGAAAATTCATCCGAAATTTTGAACAGACTATCGACCGATGATGATGTCGGTCATTATTTGAGTAAAAAATTGAGTGACTTAGAGAAATACAATATTTTAAAAAGTGCTTTTGTCCCCAATTAACAATTTTCGTACCCGTACTCCATTCACATTAAAAATCAAAAAGAAGTAAAATGCTTTTTATCATCAAAACATTTTGATAGCTTTGAAAGTTCTGACCTATTCAAAAGTTCTGAACGGTTTATTTTGTAAATATTGTGTATTTTTTGCTCGAAAAGGTGGATTGAATAAATCTTCCACGCTTATCAAATTAGTGAGTGCGCCACTAAATAAATACTCCAAATTATTTGGTAAAGACGGTGATTTAATTAAACATGACAGTGCGGCTTACCATGAGGATGCGTTGCTTTTGGCAAAAACTTTCATGAGCAATTTTGAGCAACCTCAGCATCAAATCGTGAACATTTTAGATGCGCAGCGTTTAGAAACGATAGCGAAAAATAGACTTATGATTAAAGCTATTGTATCAAGTATATTTTTTTTATCTCGACGAAATATAGCTCTTCGCGGCCATAGAGTTACCTCAAAGGTCACAGAAATGTCGACCTCCAATGAAGGAAATTTAAAAAAATATATAAGACATCGAGTTGAAAGTTTTGGTGACGATGAAATATTAAAAGAACATTTTAGCACTGCGAACTTACGAAACAAATACATTAGTCCAATAATACAAAATGAAATAGTTGAATGCTGTGGACAAGAGATTTTAGAAAAGATAATAGCTAAAGTTAACAATAGCAGATTTTTCAATATTATTTTTGATGGAACTACTGACATCAGTAATACTTCTCAAATGTCCATAATACTCAGATATTTGGACAAAAATTTCCAAGTAAATGAAGACTTTGCATTGATGCATATGCACAGGACACAAATGATCGATATAGAATCAATAGTTAGTAGATTTTCTACTATTTTTTACAACAAAAAATAGAATACTTTTACTGCAATAAGTGCAATAATATTGTGATTCATTTTTATCTTAAAAAGAGCGTTTGATTTTTCATTCACTTTTATAGTTTATACTGTATTTATTCTTTGTTTAGTTTTTGATATTATTTCATATTTTCATCTTCTTTAGAAGTCATAAATAGACTTATTAAAGGTACCGTATTATTTATAAAAATATATTCCTTTTTTTTACCTTTGAAATAAATTTCGTACTGAAAATCATTCGTTTTTATATTCATAAGCCCCTCGCATGTATAAAAATAACAACTTTTAATATGACTATATTTCTAACAAAGGACTGTACCCCTCCAGACAAAAAACCTATCTACGCGCCTGAACTATATTGTATAATTGTTTGTCCTTATATAAAACTGGCTAAGTATTTTAAGAAGGTGAAAAGAAGGAAATAAAGAAGAAATGTTATTTTAAAATAAATAAAAAAATAGATAGATAAAAAAAGAAAATAGTAAAGGGGGCTATTAATAAGTGTAAGCTATTTAAGGGATTTATATACTCATATATTTAAACCCAACAAAACATATACTGACACCCCGACAGGAAAATACTTCATTATATAACACTATTAACGTTATCACTTAAAAATATTACCACCTAGTTGTGTTATAACCTAGTAGATGGTCACATTTTGTCAGTTTACACAAGTTTAATAATAAATTTTGTAGTGTCCTAGATCTCAAAATAATTTTTCTGGTATATGACACATTATTGATTTCAAGCATTTATATATAATAAATAACAAAATTGTATAATTGTTTAGTCCTCATAAATAATTTTAATTAACATCATTTTGACTATTTTATAAAAAATTAAAAGTTCCGTCTGAAAATTCTAAAACGCCAGAATTAATTGACTTTTTTAAACAAGGTAAAATATCTTATTTGATTATGAAAAATCTACCTTATAATTATTTTTAAGATAAATTTTATTATAATTACACAAAATAATAATTTTAAATGTGTATATTTTTAATAAATGTGGGTTGAGTTGTTAATAATAAATTTTAATTTTTGTAAATACTTTTTCAACGTGATATTTATATTTTTTTATCTAGGATTGAACCCAGATTATTCATCAGAAGAAATTTTAGAACCAATGGACATTGATAAAAAAAAAATAACCATGTTTAATTTTTTATAAGTAAACTTACTTATTACTCATTTAGTTAATATAAAAAGTAATAGAAAATGTTCTAATTTTTTCTATTTATATATATTAAAAATTTAATTAAATTTTCATTTATCTATGTTTATTTTCTTTATCATTCTCTAAAGCTGTAGAAATTATTCCGTTTCACGTAAATAGAGAAACTAATCCTTATAAAGTATAAGAAATTAATTAAATAAATACTAAATAATTGACAAAACAATATTAAATTAATAAATCAACCACTTTATATTCGGTTGCCTCAATTTATTATGAATTATTATTGTCTAAAACATTTTTCTATGAAAGAGTTAATTCTCCCTGAAAATATTTATAACAAACACATATATCATTTTTATAATTTTTTCTTTATGTAAAAAATGTGTTAAAATGGGTAATTACATTTTCATTGTATAGGACTATACTATACTAACTATACTGTTAGAGCTAAAATATATAAATAAAAAATAAATATTAAATATTAAAACAACATGAAAAAAGGTAATTTTTTTTACACTAACATTTTTTGTTATATTTTTAAATTATTGTTTTTTTTTCAAACAAAAATATATGTTTTAGTTGAACACTTTAGTGCTTCACTTATTGATTTAAAATAAATAAAAACACTAATTTATATAACAGAAAAAATGTAGACGGTTTATTGTTTAAAACACTAAGAAAATTTATATAAAAATTATGTTAATGCACTACGTGTACTTAACTACTTCACCGATTAACTGACGACTGGCTAACTAACTGATTGACGTTATAGTTACGTCACGCCGTTTTATATTGTGTTGAGTTCTAGAAAATTCTCTTACGAAGCGATCGAGAACATTTCATAGTCACTACATTACTCCCCCCTCAGTACACGGAGTGTTTACAATAAGTTGTTAATAACATGGTTTTATAAGATATAATTTGTAGTTAAATGTTTTGGGAAATGTACTTTTCGTCCTGATCGTGTTTGCCTTGGTTGTGCTGAAACTGCTGTATTTGTTATGTCCGTATTATGTTCAGGTACTTTGTCTTCTATGTAAGCGGGTTTGAGTCGACCGATTGATATTGTTTTGGATGTACCGTTGATTAGAAGATCGAACGTCTTGGGTGTTCTTTTTAACACTTGAAATGGTGCCTCGTATGTATAAGTTAATTGGAATTCAGAGCGTCGATTCTTGGTAAACGTGAGTATATGTTTCTAAGTCTTTTGGTATGTAAGTGCGTTTTGATGATGATGTGTGGTGATATACTATTGGGGCTACTTTCGAAAATTGTTGTTGAAGTTGTTTTATGAAATCAGATGGTTCTGGTAGTTGTTCTGTTTCTTCAAAAAATTGCCCTGATAGTCTTAGCGTTTGACCATAGACTAGTTCGGCTGGGGATGCTTTCAAGTCTTCTTTTAGTGTTGTACGTAGGCCTAATAAGATCATAGGTAGTTCTTCGGACCAATGGATGCTGTCTTTTACATGTTATAGTGGCTTCTAGTGTTCTATGTACTCTTTCTATCATTCCATTTGCTTGTGCATGATATGGTGATGAACATATTGTTTGAAAGCCTTATGTTTTTGATAACTGTTTGTATAATGTTGATTCGAACTGTCTACCTTGATCTGTCGTTATTCTACTGAGTACTCCAAATCTTGCAATCCAATGTTGAATTAGGGTGGTGGCACATGTTTCTGCAGTTATATCTTTTATAGGCACTGCCTTTATCCACCTTGAGAACTAATCGATCA